CTGACCAAATTAGTATAGGCCTCAAAGTATATCTGTTAAACATCCAAGAAGGTTAGTTCTACCAGTCAGGTAATTTTAATAACTGTGTGCCATGTAGATAAATCTTGGGCAAAGACCAACTGTTCTCAGATAAACCTTGCCTAGACATATATTTCTTGATCTGGTATGTATAATTTGTCAGTAGGTTGTTGGACTAATATGGTTCCCTCTGGTTTTTAAAACTAGCTAGGCATTATTTATCTCTCGCATTGTCTAATAATTTCTTAAAAACTTAAATAAAGGCTGGGTGTGGTGGCATACACCTTTAGTCCCAGAACTTGGGAGAGACTGATGGCCCTCCACATAGAGACATTTAGAATGCCAAACAAGAGAAAAGACCCTACATCATATTACAGTTAGAACACTAAGCACAGGAGAACAAAGAACATTAAAAGCTACAAGAGAAAAAGAAGTACAAGGTTTATTATAAAAACAAAACCATCACAATAGCAGCAGATTTACCAACAAAAATTCTAAAAGCCAGGAGAGCAGGGAACAATGTACTTCAAGCTCTTAGAGAGAACAATTGCTAGCCCAGATTACAACATTCCTGAAAACTATTCTTTGAAAGTGAAGAAAAAATTTTCATGATAAACACAAACCAATTTGTGACTATTAAATCAACACTCCAGAAGATACTTGCAAAGATCCTACACACTAAAGAGAAAGATAAATCCATTTATATGAGGCCACAGAAAAATAGAAACTACACTAGAACATTACTATTCTAATAATAAATGAATAGAAAAGTACTAAATGCTACAAAAACAACAAAAGGATAGGAATTAATACACACATACAAATATTGTTAACAGTCTCAATTCTACAATCAAAAGCCACAGACTTGCAGATTAGATTAAAAATAGGACACACCTATTTCTAGCAAAGAGAAGCACAGCCTTAGAATGGAAGAATATAAAAAACATTTCATGCAAATCAAACTAGAAAGCATATTTGAAAATCTATATTCCAACACACTGAAAAATCTTGGAGAATTACTAGTCACATCTGACCTACTGTGCTAGTTTTTATCTACTTGACATAAGCTAGAGACTCCTGGAAAGAAGGAACCTCAAACGGGGAGTTTCCTACATCAGATATGTCTATTGGGCATTGTCTTGATTGCTGATTGATGTAAAAGGACCTAGCCCACTGTGGGTAGTACCACCCTGGGAAGATAGGCCTGGGTTGTCTAAGAAAAGTAACTGGGTATGCAAAGAGGAGCAGGTCAGTAAGCAGTGTCCGTCCATGGTCTCTTGCTTGAGTTCCTGCCTTCAGGTTCCTGCCTGAGTTCCTGCCCTGGCTTCCCCGTTGGTGGACTATAACCTACAAGATATAATAAATTCTTTCTTCCTCAAGTTGGTTTTGGTCAGCATTTTATCATAGCAATAGACTGGAAACCGAAACACATACTAAAATCAAACAAGAAGATAATAAACAACTTAAATAGATCTGTAACAAGTAATGTTTTTTTAAATTAAAAACCATACTTTTTTTCATGCACAGCAATACAACTTGCATATTAAATAACATT